TGGTGAGGCTGACTAAGCCTGACCCACAGCTAGTGGATTAGTGGCTTTGCCTTGGCCAACAACATTGTTATTGTTGTTGTTGTGTGCTGTTGAGTTGGACCCTGATTCATAGCGACCCCTCCTTGGGTTTCCCAGGTGGTATCCTATGGAAGTAGATTGCCCAACCTTCCTTCCAAGGAGTGGCTAGCGGGTTTGAACCACCAGCCTTCTAGTTAGCAGTCAAATGCCTTAGGCACTATGCCACCAGAGCTCCCGAAACCACTCCCTCTAGGCGGACACAAAGCCCCAGCCAGTCCAGTAAGTTAATCATTTGCACTTCCCAGGGTCTCTAGGGAGCATGAACGGCACAGGGGATACTGGGAAATCTCAAGTAACTGATTTCCTGACCTATCTAGGCCACAAGTCCTCTGCCCGAGAAACTGCCTACCCTGATGGTTTCGTGGCTTGTCCAAAAAGAAAAGAAGAAAATAAGGCTAAGAGGCATGAAGAACCAGGTGAGAAAGCAGTAAAAGAGGGGAATAGGGCTGATTCTCCAGAAATGAGGTGGGCTGAGCTAACTACAGGGAGGAAATGGGAAAAGAGCTGTTACCTTGTGGGAAATTGCAGCCAATGTCATAAAACAAAATGTGTATGGACTGTTGTGTGGAAAATGACTTTGCTCTGCAAACTCTCACCCAACTCACAATTTAAAAAGAAAGAAAAGAGGAGGAAAAGCAAAGATAATTTAGAAAAATATGGAGAAAAAAATAGGTTAAGTATACTTAACTTCTTAATGACTAAATAAACAGCTAGGGGTCGAGATTTAGTAATGTGTGATTTTGTGAAGTATGTGTTTTAGTTGACACAGATTTACAATTCACCATAAGTACATTAAAGAGGAAAAGGAAATGAATTAAGTATAATGAGTTTTTCACTAATGAAAAACTCTGAAGAGAGTATAATCTGTGGTTGATGCGTCCTTGATAATTATCTCTGAGCAGCCTGAAGTAAAAAGGGAGGAAATCAGATGAGGTACCCAAGGTTTGCCGAATGCCACCTGTGCTAATCAATGTGGAGTGTGTAGAACTGAGGCTCACAGGAGTTAAGTAACTTCCTTACAATGACAAAACTAGTAAGTGGCAGAGCTGAGATTAGAAGCCAGAGCTGAAGCCTGGAGCTGCCTGCCCAGGATAGGCAGATGACACAACCTTGCCTGCTGAAAGCAAAGAGGACTTGAAGCACTTACTGACAAAGATCAAAGACTACAGCCTTCAATTTGGATTGCACCTCAACCTAAAGAAAACAAAAATCCTCACAACTGGACCAATAAGCAACATCATTATAAATGGAGAAAAGATTGAAGTTGTCAGGATTTCATTTCACTTGGATCCACAATCAATGCCCATGGAAGCAGTAGTCGAGACATCAAAAGATATATTGTATTGCAATATTGTACTGCAAAAGACCTCTTTAAAATGTTAAAAAGCAAAGATGTCACTTTGAGGACTAAGGTTCACTTGACCCAAGCCACGACATCTTCAGTTGCTTCATTTGCACGTGAAACCTGGAGAATGAATGAAGAAGACCGAAGAAGAATGACACCTTTCAATTTTGGTGCTGGAGAAGAAGAGTGAATATACAATGTGCTGCCACAGTGAACAAATCTGTCTTGAGAAAGCACAGCCAGAATGCTCCTTAAAGTGAGGATGGTGAGACTTCATCTACGTAGTTTGGACATATTGTCAGGAGGAACCGGTCTCTGGAGAAGGACATCATGCTCATTAAGTAAAGTACAGGGTCAGCGAAAAAGAGGAAGACCCTCACAGAGATGGATTGACCCTGGCTATGTACAACAATGGATTCAAACATAGCAATAATTGTGAGATGGCGAGGACTAGGCAGTGTTTCATTGTTGTTGTACACAGGGTCACCCTGAGTAAGAACAGACTCAACGGCTTCTAAAAACAACAACATCTCATGTAACCTCAGGAGGCACCCTGATGGCACAGTGGTTAAAGCACTAGGCTGCTAACCTAAAGGTCAGTGGTTCAAATCCACCAGGAACTCCACAAGAGAAAGGTGTGGCAGCCTGCATCCATAAAGATTTACATCCTTGCAAACCTGATGGGACAGTTTCACTCTGTCCTATAGGGTTACTAAGAAGCTCTGGTGGCATAGGGCCTAAGGCATCTGACTACTAACCAGAAGGCTAGCAGTTCAAACCCACCAGCCCCTCCTCAGAAGGAAGATTGGGCAATCTACTTCCATAGAGATACCGCCTCAGAAACCCAAGGAGGGGTCACTATGAGTCGGATCCCAATTGACAACAGTGAATTTGGTTTCTTGGTGTTTGTTTTTTTGTTTTGTTTTGTTTTTTATAGGGTCACTGAGTTATGTTGTTTTTGTGCCCACTATTAAGTTAGGAAAGGAGCTCTGGTAGCATACTTCCTAAGGCACTTGACTGCTAACCAGAAGCCTGGCGGTTCAAACCCACTAGCCACTCCTCGGAAGGAAGGTTGGGCAATCTACTTCCATAGAGATACCGCCTGAGAAACCCAAGGAGGGGTCGCTATGAGTCAGGTCTGACTCGACGGCACATAACAACAACAACAACAACATTAAGTTAGGAGCAAAGGGGCAGTCAAAGGAATGCACAAGACATTGCGTCCAGCCTTGAATGACTAAAAATTTACTGAGGGAAATTTTAGCAATTTCCCAGAGAACCGTGTAGGTCAGTTCTGTGCTAAGTTGTGCAAACTGGAAGGAGAAGGGGGTGCTTCAGAGACAGAACTGCCATGATAGCGATTAACATGGTGTGAGTGGGGTTGCTGTGTGGACTCTTCCCCAGTTCCTGGCAGAGGGAACTGTGTGCCCCACAGTGACTTGACAGGAATGCACAAGTATCCAGGAAGAAATGCCCTGAACAGATTGTTGCGTTCCTCCTTCCATAGCTCTCCTTTGGCTGGCTGCGGGAAGCAGTCCTATTCCTCCACCTGCTGTGAAAGTCTTGATCAAGCTCTCCAGGTCCTTTCTAAATTAATCATTCCCATCTTAGAGGAACAAAGGGACCTAGCTGCCTTCAGTGCAGGAGGCTTCTGGTTTAAATCCTGAAGACTGATCTAAACCAGAGGGTCTTGAGCATTTTGGTCTCAGGACCCCTTTATGCCCGTTCTTAAAAAAATATTGTATTTTTGGTGAAAATACCCACTCAAAGCACACTCCTATTCAACAATTTCTACATGTTTCATTGTTCAGTGACATTGGTTACATTTACCACATTGTGTCAACATTCTCATTTCTCTTCCAATTGTCTCACTCCCATTAACTTAATCTCACTGCCCCCAACTTTCTTACCCATTTAGGGTACTGCTGTCCATTTGGTCTCACACAGATAATTTTTTAAAGAGTGTGGTACTCAAGGGTGACATTCTTTCTTTATTTATTTTTTGAGCTAACAGGCTCTTTAGATTCTCACTGCTGTCGAACCTATTCAATTCATAGC